CCATCTGAGAAATAGGACAGATTATTGCATTGAGGAGGGATGAGGAGGACAAATGGCACAGATATGTGAGGAAGCATGCTTCCATTAATTGTTTTGGAGCAAGTTATTCTGTAAGAAAAAGCCATCTGAGAAATAGGACAACTTAGGAAAAGTCTTCTGAATTTGATCAGATGAGCAGGATGAGTGAGGGGATAAAGACTGTAAAGTTTTTTCATCCATAAGCATATTTTTAGGACTCAATTTACTGGGCTGAAGAAGTAGCTGGGAGGACAGAATAAAGACTAGTGTAGTAAGATCAAGGATTCCTGCCTTTTTTTTTCTTGCCTCTCTGTATTTGCAAAGATATCTTCCTGGAAAATACCATCCCTGGAGATGAAAACCTTTTTTTGTGTGTGTGTGCTGGCACCTGATCATCTTTCTTACTGTTGTGGATTTGGATAACCATGCAGTGCTCCAGGAAGACTTCATGCAGAAGTTAAGATGGTGCTTACGGTGTCCAAGCCCCCTTACAGGAACACTTTCCAGCTCTCTCCGCTGGTGGGTGGAGCTGAATGTTGTGTTTAAATCCATGGGGGACTAGAGAGAACATGGTCTTTCTTGCACAGGGGACCTCGTATGTGAGGTACGTAAGGTGTATGTGACGCTGGAGAAGTTAGTATTGATACAGGTAGAAGCCAGTCACTCAAGGTGGGCAACAGTTTTACACTCCAGCTACGAGTTCCTGTTGCTACATGATCTTAATTATGTAGGATGATCTTCAAAGTTATTTAGCTACCTACTCTTCTTTCCCTTGATGAGATTTCTAGACTGTCGGACAAGATGCCGTTGCCGATGCTAACGTGAATTATAATTCCTACTCCTGCAGTCGTTCTTATTTAATCGCTCCCTAACCTGGCTCTACACAAATGATCCTGGCTCCAACTGGAAGCCTGCCATTAAATGGAGCACAGAATCGTGGGGGTGGTTAGCTGCAAGCAAGCAATAAGCAGCTGTAGAAGCTTTGAAAACTGCTTGCTTTGGCTGAGCAGCCACTGAGATTCATTTGTTTGTGCCCTTATCTGCTCAAGCACGTTGGAAAAGGGCAGTTCCCTAGGAATTTATCTGCAGCGGAGGTGAGGACTGATCCATAGCGTGGTGGTTAGACAATGCTCTCGCCCTTCTGCGTGAAGGTATGGCAGTATGTTGTTGAGCCAGTCAAGCTTTCACTTCCCTTCCAACTTGTTGGACTACACAAAGAACTGTTTAAAAATAAACTTTCATATATGTCATCAGCTGTAATGCTGCGATGGGGATTACCAATGGGTGTGGTAAAAAGCTGACCTGTATAAATGGATAATACAGCTATTGACAACACCCTGCTTGGCTCTGTGTGAACCTCTCTGCTGTAGGGTGACATAGGAATCTACTGCAGGATAAACCTGTGTTTATCTTCTGGCCCCCAAACAATTTTGCACTGTGAAGATTAAAAAAACCCTAATAATCAGACTACACATGATATGAAAGTATGCTTTTTATGAGCTTCATACAACAGGGTTCTTGCCACAATCTCTGTCGGTTCTATCATAATTATAAAGTAGGACAAATCAGAAACTAGATACGACCCAAATTAATACTTCTTATGAAAATAAGTCAGGCTATATAAATTAGGGTAGAAAAACTTACTTTGCATGAAACTCCATCTCCGGTGCTTTACTGTTAAAATTGGAATCTATGTTCCTCTCTGCTTTTTAAAGCAGACTGAAGTAGGTAGAAGTATGTGCCAGTAGCTTAAAACTTCTCTTGCCAAGCCTTGCTCCTCTCTGGCAGAATACTTGCTCTGAAGCAGTCTCTCTGGATTGAGAGTCCTTTGCACAGTATCAGACTCTACTTGCTTTGTTTGTAACTTATTTCTCTCTCTTTCCATATCGTTTACCATTCAGCAGGCCCGAGTTTTGCCAGCGTTACATTTTTATTGTATTGTGAAGAACTTGAGAGCAAACTGACTTCCCTGAGCCTCCTCCCACTACAAAATGTGACACAGTATTTATGACAAGCTTATCTTCAAGATTTGGAATCTGTGGTAGCATGAAGTTTTGCTATCTTCAACATCTTACTGGAATGTTGTTCACTGACAGTTATTGATGACTTGATGACTCAAGATACTGCTTTGACTTGTTGGGTCAGGTTTTTTTAATTCCGAGTTTCTTTCTTTTACTCAATCTTTGATGCTTCTTTGAAAAGCTTCTGAAAATGGTTGGCTACCGTAATATCTTTTTGATTAAAGAATTTTCAGTGAAAAAGAGCATCGCCAGTAACTTAATTATTTATAAGGATCTTATTGGTTGGACATCGTTGTTTTGGCTTTTCAACTATGCGTCAACTGTTGTACAAAAAGAAAGTACAAAAACTGGCAGCTTGTCTTTGTCACACTGGGACACTACTTGTGGAATTGCAACTTCTAGTAAAATACGATTTTCACATTGCTCAATCTATTTAAAGACTGTAGCTTAATTTACAACAGATATTACAGTGAAACTTTACTGTTGTGTATGTGAATTGTTTTGCAGATTGTAGTATTGATTTTGCAGAAACTCACCTGTCAGAGGTCC